ACATCATAACATAACACATCATTTGTGAATGTAGTCATTTATAACAAAACACTGACCATCGTTTGAAATGGTTAAAGGGGCAGTATGAATTTTTCAGCGGCCACTAGCAGTGCGGTGTTACACATAATAAACACAGCACTGGCATGCCGGCTGTGGCTTTTCTCCACACATGTTCAGGCTCTGTTACTACCAACGTTCACGGGTCTTACAGCGCAGCGAGCCGCATATTGGCACAGTATTCCCGGGGAAAAGGCAGCGTGACAGCAGCTATAGACAGACAGGGAGACAGCTTCACACAACATGCTGGAAACTTTGGTAAACTCCCGCTGCAACGTTACAGTAGTAGTTTTATCAGCTTGAGGTTGAACTAATCGAGGCTGGTTACATGACAACGTGACAGTGACTGCATTTAGCCGAGGTGATACATTAGCGTGAGCTCGCCTGCTGCTTTTCAGTAACTTATATAACTTATTTGTGTATCTTTCACCGGAGGCTCAGCAATGTGAGCAATGTATCTGTAAGAAAACTGTAACTGGTCGGCAGCTAAAAGGTTTTTTGATGTTGTTGACTTGTTGTTTTCACCCAATGACGATCTGATTCTTGTTTGGCCCGATGGGCTTCAGCACATGAAATGTTATTCGATTATATGGAGTTTGTGTTGGGCTGTTTTGTTAGTGGAGTTCATCTTGTTAGCTAAGTCACTGTGGTCGGAGAGAGGCTCGGGAGCGCGCATGCTGCTACATGCCCAGGTGTGTGCTTCAGAAAAGAAAAATTTGATTTATTAATAAGTGATTTAGGCAGCGCTTGTAGAAGCAGCAGCTGGTAGCGCCTTCAAACTTTGCTACACTTTTGTTTATTATGTGTTTTTACGAAACACGATACCTCTGACAGAATTACATTAATTGGAAAAGGGTTTTTGAATTAAAGACACAGCAGACTACGATCCCCCCGGGCCTAAACACCCGGACCAGGTGCCACAGCGGGTGCGGTGATCGCTCAGAGGAGAGGAAAGAGAGCCGGGATAGGAGCCATGCTGGCCCAGCTTGGACTTAATTCTGCCCCTATTGACCCAGTCTGGATAAAATGGGACTCATGTTGGCCAAGCAATGGAAACCAGAGACGGTTGTGCCCAAATCGTTACAGAGACCTGCCCCATCAACATCCCGGTTCAAGCACTCGGCAGGTGGTCCATGTTCCGAGCTGCGAGCGCAAGACTCCGGCAAAATAAGAGGAGGTGGTGCTCAAACGCAGTCAAGATGGACTCTGTTTCCCAAATGTCAGACTGTTTATTGTGAAGATATAACTTTAATTTTACATGCAACGGGAAGGACCCGGGGATTGAACTGCCAACCTTCCCATTAACTGGCAACCTGCTCTATCTCCTGAGCCAAATTTGAAATAATGTTTCATTATGCAGCCTTGTGCTGTATAATGAATAATAATGAATAATTTTTAACTTTCAGCTAAAACCAAACGTATCTTATGTAAGAAGTTGGTTTTCACATATTTTCTGTTACATTTTGCTGGACGGGTTTATCGCACCACAGATCTCCACACTGATCTTTAGTAACGATGGTTAGAATATTTCCTCCTCTCCCTTCAGCTCTGAATGCCTCTTCTCTTCAATAATACTCACAGTTCAACAGCAGGAAACATTTTCTCCTGACATCAGGTCGTATTGAGCCACGACTGGTTTCCTCTGAAGTATTAGTAACTAACTGAACAGAAACAGTAATCTGTCACATCACATCTGATTTCTTTCTTTCTGTCTGAATAGAACAAAGTGTGAAATCCAACATTTCCACATTTAGAGAAAAGACTGAAGAGAGTGCTTTCACACCTGCTTCATTTAGTTTGGTTGAGAAAGCAAACGAACCAAACACAGGATTTTATGAGGCAGAGATGTGATCTGAGCATTATTTCCAAAGCTAAACCACTAATAAATCCATTATCTGACAATGCGTTCAGCGATCTTATAATTGATCTGTATAAGCTTTATGAAAATCATTTTATAAGGTATAGCCTACTTGTCAGCGCAGGTATTTCCCTGATTAATAGGTTAAAACATTATACTATAGATAATAAGCCCCGAATTATTACTGTACATGTCCTGTTTTTACGTTATTATTCATCATAAGCTATGCGGTCGATCTGCTGTCTAGCATTACTAATCATGCTTATAATAAATTATTACTTCGTGAGCTCTTTGCGATTCAGATCAGAAGCGTTAAAGTGCTGCACAAACTTCTGTCAGTCACCGGAGTTTTATTTCCCCACGTGGGTCCTGATGATGCAGGATGTCAATCGCCAAAACTGTCCAATCAACAAGTTACCTGTACGTCTGCGTAACGTCAGGGTTACTTCTCTGGTTCGTTTGTAAAACTGCAGTGTGAACATGAACCGGACCAGAACTAACATGCAGCAGTGCATCAATTTTTTCACTTGGTCCGGACCAAATGAACCGAACTACAGGTCTGAAAGCGCCCTAATAAATATTCAGCAGGTCTCAGATGAAGCTCTTCCTTCATGGTTGTGAAGTCATGCCTTTTAGGAAAAAATGTAAATGTTGTGGCTGATATTGTACAACAGTTTGCTAACAGATGAAAACAAATAACAAAGTTTTCTCTTTGGAAATGTTGACCGTCCAGTGTACACCTGATCATCAGTCAGGGCCACAGTGCTGACTTTGTTAGTGTGGACATACTTACAGAGGTCCAGCAGGTCTTCATGTGTTTCTGGCAGCACTTCTGCACAGTGAGCTTCTGCTTTTTATACGTTTTCCTTATGTGATTTTTGAATAATATATCCACATAAATACAAATGTATGGGAGGAACTGATCCACAGGTGAACAGTAAAACACAAAAATAAGTTCCACTCCAGGTAATAATGAAGGACCCATTTCACACAGAAAGTCACAGAACGGAGTCAAGATATGTTCAGTGACAAAAGTCATCACAACCAACACCACCTTACACATTGTATCCTTCATCGCCTGAAGTCTGAAGGTCACAAATCAAGAAACGCATTGCTGGATCCTGACCTGGACTCTGCGTCACTTCCTCTATGCACTCCAGTTCAAGCTCTAGGACCAGACCAGGAGCCTGAGGATCAGACCTGGAAGACAGTGAGAGGAATGAAGCTGTTGCTGAGATGTTATATCTGGACTAACTGCTGCCTGCAAAGACACTTTCCCGGTGCAGATGAATCTGTCAAGCATCATCTCATGGGCGTAGGGCCCGATGGAGACCTGTCAGGCTTTCCTAGCACGTGTGATGGCGGCCACTTGAAAGAACATCTCTTGAGCCGGATAAAGCCAGAAATCACTGGATCATGGAAAACAGCGTCACTTCAAACAATATTAGAGTTTGCTGACCATGCAGAGGATCAGCTGGATGACTAAGAACAAACTAAAAGCCGTCGTCAGAAGAAACTGGATGACGCCCGACTGACTGTGTATATAAAGCCCTCACCGACCTAAGCCAAGAAAAAGAACCTCTCTCTGGCCGGCAACGATGAGGGGGCCGTGGGAGAGGGTGCTGGGGTTAATGACATCAGTGGATCCTCAATCCAAATCCTCAGACGTGGAGAAAGAGTGGACATGTAAAATCTGACTGAGAGGGTGGAGAGGAGGCTGGGTGGACCCTGGGGAAGGGCCGGCCTGTCGCACACATCAAAATAATGCTTGCAATAACACACAGTGAAGCAGAGAACTGTCCCAATTAACTTGATGGGATGCGATCTTATTATTTATTTTTGCATTGTTCTGACCGAACATCCAGAGAGGTTAAAAGTTACGAGACTGCAGTTTCCATTTCAAATGGTGAAATACAGTCAGGAGGCACTAAGTTATGTCTGAGTGGGCTCTGGCGCCATCTAGTGTGTCTGCCACTGTGCTTACAGCCTGTTTATTGGACAAGCAAGGCTGCTGCTTATTCTGTTTGTCCTGCCCAATCTCAGCTGTTTCAAGGGGATTTTTGCTCACATGTGGCACTGGCTGTATCTGCTGATTGGAAATGGAAGGATTTGGGCAGATGGCTTCACACCTGCAGTCGTCTGACTGACTACAGGCCCTTAAAGTGGGATCCAGGAACACTGTAAAGTAAAGATGGTGATGGATACGAGGCTGTATTGACACACTCTGCTCTGGTTAAGAGAAGAAGCAGTTCCAGTAACATCAATGGCCACAAGTAGGGCTGGACGATTAATCAAGAAGTTGGAATAAATGTGGTCTGAGCTCATTGTTTCAAAATTGCTTCACAACCTGGAGCCAGGAGATCGGGTACTTTTTAAGGGCCACAGGACGAAGCACTGGAGGCAACAACTGCTGGAAGGAGAATGACGACAGGACTAATGCTGTATTCCATGCAACTTGGAACGGGGAAATTTCCGACCTCCAACCAGAAAAAGTACCATGGAACGCCACCTTAAGTCGGATTTCCTACCTGTTTATTGTTTACATTTAGCGTCACGCACCACCATGCACCTGAAACGCTTTGAGGTCGCAAGTCGGAAGTTTCAGCTGGCCTGATGACAATTTTTACTGGCCCTACTTCCAAAATGTATTTAATCGCGGGTGGTGATGGTGCAGTGGATAAGACACGTGCCTTTGGTGTGAGAGACTCAGGTCCAACTTGCCACTGTGACAAATCCGCCAATGTGTCCCTGAGCAAGACACTTAACCCCTCGTTGCTCCAGAGGCGTCTGACATGTATAGCCATTGTAAGTCGCTTTGGATAAAAGCGTCAGCTAAATGAATAAATGTAAATGTTTGCAGTCAGGGTGCTTTCTATTGCTCCTTCGTCTGTTTTATTTAATCCCAGTCCCAATGTCCACACTTACAGACTCACAGACTTTGAGGCGCGTTCCCGGTAACTCCATGAGGTCTTAGGGCTGTCCCACTGTCGAGTCCTCAGGTGTGCGAGGGCTCTCTCACGGTCTGGAATGAAAACCCCTTATTTACACACTTAGTTTATTCAAGTATTTATTGTAGTTTTTGCCTTATGATGCTTATGATGAATAGTGCATTGATTGTTGACAAATGTAGATTGACATTTACGTCTCGTCCACTCTGTAGAGCGAGAGACTGCAAGACTTTAAATAATCAGGCAAAATCATAAAACAATCACTTATCAAGTGACGTCAGTCAAGTCTGTGAGGGTTCAGGGTTTAAGGTTTGGGGGGACAGTTGGATTGAGCCATGTTTCTAAACGGCCCTAGCGACAGTAACTAAGGTGGGCGGGGCGAGACGCCGTGACGTGGCGAGAACACTCCGCGGGATCCCGCAGCGCTCCTGTATCTCAGCCTGAAGAGCTCCGAGACCAGAATCCAGACTCAGTCCAGGACAACACGGTCCACCAGTCACAGCGGAGACCTGCAGGACGATGGAGAACCAGAACCCGGACCACAGGAGCCAAACAGCAGCCTCGTGCTCTGATAGCGCCGATGTTCAGGTCAGTGTTCATGACTTCATCACGAGACTAAAGACACGAGGAAGAGTCTCGAGGGTCCGTGTATCATCCGTTCATTCTGTTGTTAGAGATCAGAGCCTGAAAACCCGCTCCAGGGTTTGTGTTGACTCCGTGATTCCTGTTTTCATCTTGAAGAGAGGAAACTGAAAGAAAACATGTCAGTTTCCTCTCTTCAAGATGGCGTTTCTTTTTTCTTTGTTCTGTGGGTTTTCCCGCGCGGCGCATGCGCGGTGCGGCCCGTGTTGTGTCGGGAGCGCGCAGAACAAACAATGATGGTGAAAATGAAGCAGAGTCATTATATTTGCTCGTGTGTTGGTGAGTTTCTCTCAGTGACAAACAGTCTGCCTGCATTATTGTTCTCTGAATGATCGTCGTGCAGGTTTCAGCTCTAAATAGTATCTGTGGAGACTCTTTGTAGAGATCAGAGTCAGTCTGGAGTTTAGTTTTCCTCCACTGCTGCTCAGCTTTTCAACACATCCTCTTCTGAAGTTTGTTCTGTGGGACTTTCCTCCACGGTGCCTTTTTCTCACCAGAGACTCTAACTGATGCAGTGACCTGTATTAGTGTTAGATCTCTGTAGGCTCTGTCATTAGCTAGTTAGCTCAGTAAACAGTTCTGTACATGCAGGCCAGACATTAATTATGGATAGGGGGACAACATTTTCCGAACTGGGCCCCTCATAGACACCCACCCCAACACCTCCTCCATCTACCCTTAGTTCTAATACAAACAAGGCCATTACCCTGGACTGCGTGTGCGCCGCGTTACGGTTTGCTGAATTGTTTAAATTTAGTTGATTTGGTAAGTTGTCCTTGATTTTTGTGCTTCTACTGTGGTTAAGAAGGCTAAATAGTTTGTTTTTATTGTTGATGTACAAATTCGGGAGTCAGTGCAAGGTATTTTATTTTGAAAATCGACCGGATTCTCTTTGCCGTTTCTGTTTCTGACGTCCTGTCCGGCTCATCTGCTCTGTACTGCTTATTTATTCATTCACTGCAGTCACACATCCACATGACTCTGTCAGAGCCGAATAATGAATAAAGCTACAACATAAGGTCCGAGCTTATCGAGACTAGCGGGTCCTATAATGTAACGTTATGTCTCGAGAGTCAGATCTGAACTTGAAATGCATGCGATGGATAAGAAAACAAATATTCTAATGATCACACGAAACCCAGTGTTATCCTGTATGTTTTATACAAGCACAGCTGACAAATGTTAAAAACAAGCTAAATAGAAAGCTGTCTGTAATTTGGCAAAAACTCCGTTGCTGGCTGAGACAAAGCAGCCGCTCATCCTTCGACCAGGTGACGTTACCTGCGGGCAGGTGATAACAGCAGAGAGGAGGAAGAGGAGAAGGAAGGAGGGACTGATGCAGAGTGATGGTATTCTTTCTGTACGTCACTCAGTATTGTGACTTTATAATGCGACTTTGCTATTGTAATGTTGCTGCTCTAGAAACAACATTTAGTTGTATTTAAAATATTCAATTCTAATCCTATAATTCATTTAAAAACAACCAGGCAGCTCAATATATGCTGTTTGAAATTTTTATGTGTGCACGTAGTGTCTGAATATAAAACCCCAACACTACCTGAGCTTTGGCTGAATGTTTTGGTGGTCGTACTAGTCTTGGTAAGTGGGCTGGGGAGCTGTTGGGGGTTTCACATTTTCCAATGAAAAATATGTAATTTCACATCAAATTGGGGCTTTACATTATTATCACCATATCTCTGAACAAGTAGTTGGAAAAGCTAGAGCAAATAATAAGCAAACGACACCCAAAGATCTACTGGAGGAACTACAGTCTTTAGATTTGGTTGGTTCTGTCGCTCCACAGTGATTAGACATTTATGGCACTGCATGTTTGGGGCATCACCCCCTAAAACCCTGTTAATATGAGTAGGGGTGCAACAACTAAACGACGTAGTCGACAAAAATCGTTGGCAACGAATATAAGGTATGGTAGTTAGCGAGCTAGCTTCATGTTAAAGCCGTGTTACTTCACGTTATGAGCTGAAACGTTTTCAGCTTGATTGTTACAGTAATGGTGCTGTGAGTAGCACATAATTATGACACACAACGGCTGCGTTCACATTCCAGACGTGGCGACGTTTCCAGCTGGAGAACGTGTTGCTGCAGAGTGCGCAAGATAAGCAACACCGGACAATTTCATACTTTCTGAAGAAGCGAAAACAGTTCTCCTGTCTGTGCGTGAGGTGGCGGCTAATCTGCCCAAAACAAAGTTAGGGGAAACTATATTTGTTGTGAAACGCTGTCTACAACAAGATTGTTATTATTGATCTCCTCTTGTAAATTCAGCAAATGAAATGCATGACGTTATTCCTTTCTTTATATACAGGGTCAGTTTGTCCCGGGGTGTTGCAGTACTGGCGTGAAAGCAGCTCCGTCACTAAACAGCAGATCAGGACGTGATTTCAGTGTAACTTTCTGTTGCTGCAGCAGAAACGTTCATTAAAAGATGCATCTTTGAAAGCAGTATTTATTTTATTCTCTGTTAATTAGCACATGCCTAAAACGACCTCAGGATTAATTTAAAGGCTAATAGCTAAATGAGAGGCATTGTGTCATTTTGCGATTCATAATCCGAATAGTCGATTTATTCGTTTCAATAATCGATAGATTAATCAACTATCTCGTTGTAGTTTTATGATCAGAATCATTATAGTTTCATTTTACACAGCGTTTGACATTAATATAAAAAATGAGAAACCTCCTCCCTTCTGAGGTGCATTTTATTTGCACATTAAAGTCTCCTCATCAGCCTAAAAGGACTAGTTTCAGTGGAGTTCTCTGGAGTTTTGGTCTTGTTCTGACTGTCTTTCATCACATCCCGATTTATTCTATGTCATCCTGTGGACCTCGTTCCTCGTCGAAGTTTAGGGCCATTTAATCTATTTGCCGGGAGAGACAGTTTTCAAGCAGCCGTGCTTGAGCGTGCAACCGGAAGTCCCCCGAAACATTTAAAGTTTTAAGTAAAGCAGCCCAATTAATGTCTGTTATTGTTATTATCACAACACATCAGTGACATGGAAATTTGATTCATTTAAAGATTTGCTGCTATTGTCATTATTCTAATGTGCTTCACCAGGATGATTGAATAAAATATAGATTTATTGATTAGACATGTGTTTGATATTTTGGATAAATTGGTATGTTAATCGAGTAATAGGCAACGTTTCTTTCTTTAGAATAAACAAAATTAGTCGTTAGATTAATCAACTTGAAAAACACACACACACACCTCTCCATCCTTCTGCAGCCAGCCACTCCCACAGGACCAGTGCAGGTCAGGGATGGCATGGACTTGGTGTGATAGCACGTCAGCTCTAGGCTTGAATGCAGTGTGGCGGTCTGTGTTGTTTACTGTGGTGCAGTCTGAAGTGTGTGAGCACACATCAGGGAAGTGACCCACAGGCTGACCAGCCGTGAACCTTTGAATGAGTTTCACTTGGTGAAAACATTCAAATTTGACGTCTGTCGCTACTGTGGTGCAGAGATGGGGACTCAAGTCCGACTTAAGTCGCACACACAGTGACTTGAGACTCGAAGTGCGGGACTCGCGGACAATGTTTATTTTTTTTAGGAAACTTCTGAAGAGCTTGCTATTATTCCTTCCCTCTGTTACCTATAACCTGCCTATGTAACATCTGCCGCGCACGGCCCGCACGTGAGAGAGGACAGCGAATCGGAGGTTAACTCCGATTGTCGTTCGTTATGAAAAGATGAACGAGCGTTTGTTTACTTGCCAAACTTGTGGTGGTTGATTTAACGTAATCATTTACTGGCTGCCGTCATTTGAATTATTACCGTTGGCTGGAAAGAGGTTTATTGTCGATCATGTAACAGTTTTATTTAGTTATAACATCACACTGGTTTGAGAGTCTGGTGGTGTGTTGACTTACAGTTGTTTAATCTGTCATTAACTGCATTGCACATCACATGGTTGTGCTCTGTAAGTGAAAAACAGGTTACAGTTACAGAATTCCTTATAGCCGTTTTATTAGCAACCTGGATTAAACGCAGCAGGTGATACAACATTGCTATTCATTGCCAGGTTCATCCTGTCTGTTGCAATTGAGACAGATTAGCCTTGTGTGAGGCCAAAGCTAACCGCTTTAGCCAACAGTGGTCTTCTCAGCATGCTTCTTGTGATGGACTCTACCGCTCTGTGCTCTGTTGGTTGGCCCTCCCCACCAATTTTCCTTTAATAGAAAGCTGTGGCAGCGGGCAGGCGAGTCATCAGAGGGGATGGTGACTCCAGCCTGTAACAGTGAATTCAAAACGTGTTTAATACTTTCAAGCGCTTCTTGTTTAGTTGAGACCATTTTAGAATCTTCAACTCAAACTTGAGTTTGTGAAACCTATAGCTATAAACTCTCATTCAAGATGTTACTGGAACAGGTACTCAGAACCACAGCAATGTGTGTCAATGTACGTCATGACCCTTGCTGTCCCGGGTTCTCGGGCCAAACCACTGGGAACTCGTCAGTCAGCTAAGATCCTAATATGGTATCCATTTTAGTTTGATTGTGTTTATGATTTTTACTTTATCTGTGAGATCAATCATTTTCTTTTGATCTTCTGTATGTTAAACAGGCTCTGTCGTGCGGTCTGTCTTCCATGATGTGACATGCTGTGAAATACAACTCCTCTTTACTTCAGCAGCAGTTTCTGGACTAATCAAACTCAGAACTTTTAGGGTCTCATTGCATCTCGTGATGGTAATGCGGACTAGGATGATTCGGTCTGGTCTTGCTGTTCAGCTGCTGTCCTGCATCATGCGGGCAGAACTTAGTCCAGTGGTAATTCTGGACTGTGCATTGTCCTTTTGTACTCAGCATTCCTTCCGTCTGCCTGGAGTGACATATGATGATAATGGTGGTGATTTAAGAAAGGAACATTTTATCTTATTGTAATGCTGATCTCATGAAAGTCCAGCTTCATCTATGCTAATTTTCAGTTCTGAGCTTTCCTCGTCCTTAATTCTTGTCTTCATATAGCCTACTAAGGGTGTCCACCAATGTGTCCCTGAGCAAGACACTTAACCCCTCGTTGCTCCAGAGGCGTGCGACCTCTGACATGGACAGCAATTGTAAGTCGTTTTGGATAAAAGCGTCAGCTAAATGAGTAAATGTAATGTATTTTGTGAACGGTGCACCAAATGCAATCTTAACGTCATATATTAGGCTCGTTTTGTGTGTGGAACATATGCAGAGTTTCCACACAGACATATTAAGGGGCGGGGCAAATCTCTGCCTTGCGGCGCTACACAAGCAGCACGCTAACTAGCAACATGAGCAGCATGGCCAGTGCCAACGCCATACATACAAGGAACAATAATTGACAGGCTTCTAAACATATCACACATTCACGGACCGGCAAAACGCGTTCACTGACATCCTGGAACATCGGAAAACACAGTGCATGCGATGAACAGCCTTTCCTTCCTTCCTTAACACTAACTGGTCATCCAGTCCATTACAATATATATTTATTGTATTTTATTAGCTGTATGTGGTATTGTTTTGAGAATACTTTATTTAGTGGAGAACTTGGTAGTAGTTTGCAGCAGTATTTTATTTCGTAATTCTTTTTTATTAAAAAAAAATGTATTATGTGTAATTTGGAAGTTTGTTAAAAGTTTTCCCCTTACTGTACCGGAAATAAACCGAACCGTGATTTTTGTGTAGCCTACCCATCTGAACTGCAGTTTGTTTTCTTTTCTTTCCTCTGGACAGGGCTGCACACTCTATTGCATTTCTGCTCTCCTTTCTCTCCAAACATGTCTTCAGCTGGTTCAATTGTTTTAGACTAAAGCTTAAAATCTAAATCTATTTCAACCCACTTATCAAATTGTCCCGTTAATGTTTAATATTTTTCAGTCAACAATTTCACAACTGGTGACGGTAATCTGGGAGTGGATTCAGACTCAGTCCTCGCTTTACTCTGACACTGCTCTTTGTCTACTCTCTCTAGTCTGTACTTGGGTCCATGGCAATATTTGGGTCCAGCGAGTTTGGTTAAGTTTTTAATTGAAATGTAGTTTAGCAGGTTGGATTAAGTTAAGGCTTTTTACTTTTTTTCGTCCATTTAATGGCACATTGGAGCTAACATTAAGAGAGAGAGAGAGATAGATAGAGATATAGATATAGATATAGAGATATAGATAGATAGATAGATAGATATAGATACAACCAGCTGCAGAGATAGATAAATAAATGTAGAATTGTATAAATACAGAAATAGCCTTTTTTAATTACAAAATATATTTAATTTAAATTTATTTCTGCATTTATTTATATTATGTTTTTGGTCCCTCATACATCTGGGGTGCCATATTGTTGTGGAAATTATATCTTGCTGGTGAGGGATTAAGCTAATAATTGACCGTTGTCTTTGAAGAATTTATTAATAAAAAAAGAATAAACGGAGAATTACTAAAATGCATGTATAGCTTGGGCAAAGGGATGTATAGTCCTTTACACAGTCTTAGTTTTTATGTTTTGGGGAACACAGAACAGCCTTGAATGATCATTCCAGGAGAGGAGCGGGAACAAGAGGGGGGAAAACACCAAAACAATCTCACAGCTCTGATCTAAATCCTAGTAAATGTGGTCGGACTAAGATGAGGAGTATAGAAGAAGAAAAGGGTAAGGATAAAAACACAATACACATAGATCTATAAGACATAATAATAATAATAATATTAAAAGATTACAGGACAGAATTTTCTGCCATAACATGGTGCAACTGAAACAAATGGGCCTAAATGTAGTTTAAATTGAGTTTTTCATTATTGGCTGTATATAGTCTATTCTTAATATTTTGTTTTAAATGAGACTTCACAGTCCGTTTGAACCCATAGACACACTTTCCATTGCGAAAAAAAAAAATAATAATAGGCTAACCTCCTGGGTGTGACTGTGACTTCACAATCACAGATTCATGGGTAAACTGTGTCTTTATATTTGATCCTTACCCATTTTCATAATCAGGTAGCCGCCGGTATTTAGTCCAATCAGGGTCCGTGTTGGTTCTCCCTTTATTTACTCGTTGCCGTGGTGAATCATTGTATCAGAGCTCCATTGATGATGGTTTTTTTCATTCCCACGCACGCCTGAACCAGAAATTCAGTTTCCCACCTCAGGCTCAGTCAACTCAGAGCTCAGGGATTTTCTAAAAAGGGCTCAGCTGTCTGCATTTACACACATTCTCGCATGTAATTTTTTAGTTTTACCGTTACACAATTTTCTTGAGTACTTCACTGTGAACAGCCGGGCATATATAGTAATGGCATACTGATAATTTCTTGAGTATGCAGTACATAGTGAGTGTGTATGACTGAGTATCTAATAGACAGTACATACTCGCTATGTGGTACAGTACGTTAGTATGTGATTTCAAAGATGTGCTCTGTCATTTATTGTTTTAGATTTAGATGTTATCGACCATGACCTTTCACTTACTGTGTTTCTCTCTGTTGATATAGAGAAGGAGAAGAAGAGATGGACTCGAACGTCCCCGCTGTCAGTACTGTGACAAATCCTTCACAACGTCTGAATATTTGAAGATTCATCAGAGAGTTCACACTGGAGAGAAACTGTCCAGCTGTGACCAGTGTGGGAAAACTTTCACTACCTCAGGTGCCCTAAGAGTCCACAAACGGGTTCACACTGGAGAGAAACTGTACAGCTGTGACAACTGTGGGAAAGCTTATACTACATCAGGTCACCTAAAAATCCACCAACGTGTTCACACTGACCAGAAACCGTACTGGTGTGAACAGTGTGGAAAAACTTTCAATAGATCAGATTCCCTAAAAATCCACCAACGTGTTCACACGGACGAGAAACCGTACTGGTGTGAACAGTGTGGAAAAACTTTCACTACTTCAGGTCACCTAAAACTCCATCAACGTGTTCACACTGGAGAGAAGCCGCACTGGTGTGAACAGTGTGGAAAAACTTTCACTCAATCAAGTGCACTAAATATCCATCAACGTGTTCACACTGGAGAGAAACCGTACAGGTGTGAACAGTGTGGAAAAACCTTCACTGCATCAACTCACCTTAAAATCCACAGGCGTATTCACACTGGAGAGAAACCTCACTGGTGTGAACAGTGTGGAAAAACTTTCACTCAATCAGGTGCCCTAAAAAAGCACCAACATGTTCACACTGGAGAGAAACCGTACTGGTGTGAACAGTGTCAACAAACTTTCACTACATCAGATGACTTAAAAATCCACCAATGTGTTCACATTGAAGAGAAACCGTACAGCTCTGGCCAATGTGGCAAATCTTATACCAACCAAGGAGAACCCTTAGAAGACACAAATACATTAACGAATCATCACTGTGACAGTTTTCACAGAACCGAGCTAGCTGTTTCCTCCTGCCCTGAATACAACCCTGTTATCATGTGACTGTGCTAGACTAACGTCATGTGATGACAGCTGAGGAAGTTTGATTTGGAAAGCCAATAGCAAAATTAAAAAATTAAACTGCAGTAGCCAGGTTACAACCAGTAGAGGGAAGTCACTGCATTTTATAATTTGTGTCTATAGGTAATCACACATCTGACATAAAAAATTACTTGTGGAGTTCCCCAAGGCTCCATTCTAGGGCCTCTTCTGTTAACGTCTACATGGTTCCACTCGCTCAGATTATGTAAAACAACAAAATGTTACCATAACTAGGCAGATGACGCACAAATAATTTACATAACCATATCACCCCCGTACAAGTGCTGAGGAACTGTATTAAACAAATTAACAATTGCATGTCCTAAAATTTTAACAAAGATAAAACTGAAGTCAGTGCTCAGCTTCAATTGGTAATGTTAAGAACCACAAACCAAGCCAGAAATGTTGGTGTGGTCAAGAAGTCAGACCTGAATTTAAGTGGTTACATTAAGACAAGTCGGCCTACTATCACCTGAAGAATATATCAAGGATTAAAGGACTTTTGTCTCAGCAGGACCTGGAAAAACTTTTATCTTCAGTCGACTCAACTACTGTAACGGTGTCTTTACAGGCTCCCTAAAAATCCATCAGGCAGCTGATTCAGAACGCTGCTGCTCGAGTCTTCACTAAGACCAAAAAGGTGGATCCCATTACTCCAGTTCTGAGGTCTTTACATTGACTTCCTGTATGTCAAAGAATTGATTTCAAAATCCTGCTGTTGGTTAATAAAGCACTAAATGGTTTAGGGCCAAAATACATTTCTGATCTTCTGCTTTGTTATGAACCATCCAGACCACTCAAGTCGTCTGGGACAGAAAGCAGAAACCTGTCCCAGACAAAACTAAACGTTTTTATGCTCCGTATATCTGGAAGCAAGTCTGCTGAAACTTAGTTCTTTTAAATCAAGACTGAAGACTTCTTTTTACCTCTGCCTTTAAAGGAGACCTATTATATTATTAGGCCACTGTCTTCTAATTGGCCAAGACCTGAAGCATGTTACCAGGCTGCTGTTGTTGCTGCTGGGCGGAACAGGCAGACTGAGCTTTGCCGTGCCGTTGATATGAACACCAGCTCCGTCTGGCTCTGTATTACGTAGAACGGAGCTGTTGGTAGAAAGAACCCGTTCAAAACAGGAGGAAATCTGAGGTTTCTGCTCACAGGGATTTCTTTTAAATACTTTAACCTATTTTTTTGAAACTTTGACCATTTTAACATGAACATCCAACATTATAACATTGTAGATAAGTCATAAAATGTTGAAAAGCGTAACAGGTCTCCTTTAATTAAATCAAATGTTGCCATGTTGCTTTTATGTTTTAAGTAAAGCACTTTAAATGGCCTAGTTGTTGAAATGTGCTATACAAATAAACTTGCCTTGCCTTATAGTACTATAAAAGAATTCAGTAGTTTGAGGTAGTGTCAAGATTTCGTCATTAATTTGTTCAGACTGAAAGCAAATCTAGTCGAAAGCAAAGAGACGCAGATTCACTCCAGTTGGCTCCAGCTGAGGTGAAGACGTGTCAGCTCAAGTTTGAAATGTTTCATCTTCAATAAGATTCTCTTTGATACAGACTGAAGCTCTCAACATGGCTCTTGCACCAACCCATCTGCTCTGCTTGTTGTTTTGTACTGGTTGCAATAGTTAATGTGTCTTTGTCGTTAATGTATTTTATAAATATAATGTAAATATATCAGTCTCCAAAAACGGCTAAAGCTAATTTCTTTTGTCTGCTAATGATGTGTCTGCTTAAACAGTAAGATGAGAGCATTCATTGATGAACTGACAGTTTGTCATAAACTTAATGTGACCATGTGACGGCTAAAGGGAGAACTGTAATAGAAACAAATAGATTTTACCTGTATGTACTTTTAATAATCCTCTATGTCATTACTTTATGTTCTTTGCTCATCTTATGTGATGTTATAATTTCCACTAAGTGTACCAGTGTTTTGATATAATGACCTTCTGTGAGATTGTTTTGTTTCATGCTTTCCTGTGAGAAAGGAGTTTCCACTGTGGTCAAGGCTGAGAAAGGCTTTTCTGTTGGACTCCACAATTATTCTCTAGTATTAAATGTCTTCTCTGTTTCTCTGGGTCAGACTCTCTAACAGCCCTCTGGTGTATGAGCTCTGCCCTTCAGCTGATCACTCTGTTATTCTTACTTTAATAAATATCACAAAGACAACTGTTTTTTGTATCGTCTTTATTTCTTAATTTCTTCAGAAGAAAATACACACTTTCCACCAAAAATCAGTTGGCGGAACCTCAGACCAACAATCATAGATACTGTGACGTGTTCACCGTCATCCCATCAGGTCTGTGAGGGCGCCGGATTAAACATAAATCCAGTTTTATAAATGACACTTAAGATTGGTACCACAACCAACATACTGCGAATGAACTACAAATATTGTTTTGTTTTGCAGCCTTGTCAGGAATTGATGGTGTTGGTAGACCCAAATGCAAGACACGTATGTAGTAACAGATCCGAATAATAAAAACAACAAAGTAATCTAGACGCAAGCAGACGGATCACAAACTAACACCAACACAGATTAAACAGAACCAAGAGCAGACAAAACCCAAAATAACGCAAACACATAACTAGGCGTAAATACAAAGACATGAACTAAGGCACAGAACTAAAATGCAGGGCTCAACCTAAGATACATCACAGGAAACACAGACTGAAAGATCAACAACACAAGACCATAGCCAGACAGGACTGAAACACAACAGACAATATAACAGATACCTAACTGATGAATAAATAAACTCACAGAGAACTAAACAGAACAGACGACAGGACTAAAATTCAGAAACGAAACCAAAAGCCCAGAAACAGAGAAACAAGGCAGCATAGAGCTGTGGTTGAATGGAACTCTATTCCAGGTCATATTGTTAAAACTCAAAATAATATTGTTTTAAAAAACAAGTAAAGGAATATTTCATGTCTGCTTATATTAGTAAATAGAGCCTATCATACATTCTTTTATATTTGTATTCCTTGAAAATTTGTTGTTTTGAAATGTGTTGTTATGTACATTGTTTTGTACATTGGCTGTGTATGTTCTTGTAGTATGTTAATCTGTGAATTGATTGTGTTGTGTGTCATTCTTTATTCTTATGTGTTTTGTGTGGACCCCATGTGTTTTTTGCCTCAGCTAATGGGAATCCTAATAAATCCAGTTTGATATTAAATTAGTTATGAACTTTAATCGTGCGTCTCTTCATTTTACTCACACACAAAGTAGCTATTTTTATTGGTCAAGCATATAGTTTTGCATTATATCCCATCAAATCTGATGTTTATGTATAGCCTACATTTAGCTCGTGGACTGGATGGTCTTATGCCCATTCGGCAGGTAAGAGCAAAGTTAAGAAACGTTCTGTGTGCGGGGTTGTTTAAAAGACTCTTAAGCCTATTTGAGGGTCCTAGACGTAGTGGTTTTTGATCTGGTTCAGGTCTAAACGTGTAAACATCCTAAATGACCCTTTTTATAGCATTTTCACAAACAGAAAAAAGTTTATGTGGGTATTTCTGACAGCGTTAAGGTGTTTGAAAACCTAGTTGAGTAACAATTGTACTACTTTTGGTATGAACTCATAATGCAGTAAAATGTTCCCGTCAGTTTTTCATTATTATATCTGATGTTTCTGCTACATTAGGCCCTATCTGGCATTTTACTGTGATAGTTGTGTAAAATAAATTTTTGGTTGTTTTATTGAAAAGTCTTTATAATCATAGACACAGAACGTATTGTTTTCCCCCTCTCATCAATGTGTTCTGGTCAGCTGTTTCTGTAGAGTGGTGGCAGAAGTATTCACTTAATTTAGACTACTTCAGTAAAAGTACTACTACCACTAGGGCTGTACATAGATTATTTTTCAAGTCGATTAATCTAACGACTAATTTTGTTTATTTTAAAGAAAAGTTGCCTTTTACTCGATTAACATACCAATTTATCCAAAATAAATATCAAAAACATGTCTAATCAATCAATCTTAATTTTATTCAATCATTAGAATATGAAATAGCAGCAAATCTTAAAATCAATCAAATTTCCGCGTCACTGATATGATATAACAACAGACATTAATTAGGCTGCTTTACTTAAAACTTTAAATGTTCCTGACATGGATTAATTTCAATATTGAGTAATGCAGTATGATAATCAAATGTATTTCTGTGAACACCTGTACTGTCAGTTTCAGCTGTTTTGTTGCTCATACGTGGCCGTTAAATAAACAGAAAATATGAAACGGCCGAACATTAGATGACATGCATGTAACGTTACCATGACAGCAGCGGGAGAGAAATTACTTTTAACATGAAGGCAATAACATTTTAACGGACTACGTGGATTTGCAGTGCTGCCGTCTAGACAAAGTGCTGCGGGATACTTTCGTTTCAAGTATTCATGGTTTCCAGTTCACGGAGCAGCATGTTGTTGAGTGTCTGTCTGAAATACTCCAAACTTTAGATGGTCGAAAGCGCGGTCTTGTAGCTGGAAATTGTCCAGGTGAATCCCACACCGTATTACGTAATCTATTACGTCGACGAATCTCCCCAGCCCTACTACCACACTGTGAAAACTGCAAGCCCTGCATTCAAAACCTTACTTGAGTTAAAAATATTATTAGTAACGTAAGTATGAACAGTAAAAATAGTCAGTAAAAGTGTCCGGTTAGTGTTTCATAGCACTATCTAATGTTTCTGGATCAATATTCCTGCTGCATTAATGTGTATGTTGCATGTTACTGCTGTAAATGTTTGCGGTGGAGCTCATTTTAACTCCTCAGTGGAGTGAAAGGTAACTATTTGCCTCTATTTGTCATTCCACCACTGCAGTCCGCATATAACGGTGGATGAACAGAGTCAAGGTTAGTAGGCTGTGAGTGTGTAGGCCTATACTGCATGGCAGTTTGATTGAGAAATTGAAAAATAGTTGTGCTATGTCCCTGCCTTGACAAGCCCCCAATTCACTCAAGGATAACCATGCTAGCATTTTTACCACACTTTAATTCATTTCAATTAGCGCTTTTCACATAGAGCAGGTCTAGACTGTACTCTTTGTGATATTTCCAGAGAACCAACAATTCCACCAAGAGCAAGCACTAGGCGGCAGAGGCAAGGATAACTTCCTTTTAAGAGGCCTTTTTTGTACATAGAGAAAGTCCTCAGATCTCTGAGTGTAGCTCATGATCAATGGGGGCCACGTTAGCATTAAGCCTGAAGCCCATCAAAACACCACAGTGGTCGGTGGGATGTGGTGAGTTACTTTAGTGGAACTACTGTAACGCTAACGTTAGCGCTGCTTATTAAGCTGTCTTCTGCTCTTGATGTTCACTGGTAACGTTATGTGGGTCTGTTGTTGTGATATGCATATGTACCTGATAGACCCTGTGGTACACATGTGAAAAACAATAGTCACTTTCATGGCAACATTTAACTTTAACATCAAGCTGCAAACTTGCTCATACCCAAAAGCATTAACGTTAGAGAACCGTTGGGCATCTGATTCTGGAGGCCCCGGGAGCCAGTGGAGGTCACTGAGTAATGGAGCGACATGAATCCTTTTGGGCTGATCAAAAACCAGACGCGC